ACCTAGAATGCTCTTCTCTTTTTTTTTTTTTTTTTTTGAGACGGAGTTTCACTCTTGTTACCCAGGCTGGAGTGCAATGGCGCGATCTCGGCTCACCGCAACCTCTGCCTCCTGGGTTCAGACAATTCTCCTGCCTCAGCCTCCTGAGTAGCTGGGATTACAGGCACTCGCCACCATGCCCAGCTAATTTTTTTTTTTTTTTTTGACGGAGTTTCACTCTTGTTACCCAGGCTGGAGTGCAATGGCGCGATCTCGGCTCACCGCAACCTCTGCCTCCTGGGTTCAGACAATTCTCCTGCCTCAGCCTCCTGAGTAGCTGGGATTACAGGCACTCGCCACCATGCCCAGCTAATTTTTTTTTTTTTTTTTTTTTTTTTTTGAGACGGCGTTTTCGCTCTTGTTACCCAGGCTGGAGTGCAGTGGCACGATCTTGGCTCACCGCAACCTCCGCCTCCTGGGTTCAGGCAATTCTCCTCCCTCAGCCTCCTGAGTAGCTGGGATTACAGGCACGCGCCACCATGCCCAGCTAATTTTTTGTATTTTTAGTAGAGACAGGGTTTCACCATGTTGACCAGGATGGTCTCGATCTCTCGACCTCGTGATCCACCCGCCTCGGCCTCCCAAAGTGCTGGGATTACAGGCTTGAGCCACCGCGCCCGGCTGCTCTTCTCTTTCTATATAGCAGCTCAAGTTCCCCATGAAACTTTGCCGAGCCCGTTCCAGCTTACAGAGACCTCTCCTGAAATCCTCAAACTCTTCAGGTTGGATTCTCTCATCAATGTTTGATTATAAACTGTATAGTTTACACTTGTACTCTCAAGCGTATTTGTCTTCAAAATGGGTAACTTTCTAGATGGCAGGGACCAGCCCGAGATCTCTGGGTGCCAAAGCACTGTTCTCTGTTCAGAGCAGGCCTTTAGCATTTGTTAAATGAGTGTTGAAGTACAGTGTGAATCTTCTACTACTGAGTCAAATAGGAAGGCTTATCCTCTGGAACCTGTGGAAAAGCCAATTCAGCAACATCTGAATTCACATTTTTAAGTGATTGGGTGTGGAATTAGCCCTATTTCTAAATCCCCAGTGGTAAGCAGAGATAAACTTCAGCTTGATTATAACAGCCCCTTAAAGAAACTCTTCTCCACCTCCCTGTGAAGGGATGAATGCAAATAGGGCACCACAAACTGGATGCTAATTACCGGCAAATCCTCCCTGGCATAGACTGCCACAAAAGTAAAGACTCTCTTATCTGCCTGATAACACCAGGTCCCTGGCCCTGCAGATCAGAAAAACAGAAAGTGCTCCCTAGGGGAGGCCATTTAGGGGGCAAAGCCAATTAATTGGTACGGGCAGAGTGTTTGTTGTTCTCATGAGGTTCTATCTGGACCCACTGTTGGTTTAGGAGGTTTTAATGGACTAGTGAGGTTGTGCTGAACCAGCCCCACCACCTGGAAAACTCTGTGGAGCTGGCAGCGTGAGAAAGGCAATAAACCTTGGGACACAGCTGGAGTCTAAGAAACTAACTAGGCATGAGATGATCCTGGCCCAGCCCCAGGGAAACAAACTTGCACCCAGAGAAGTCATGTTGCTGCTGAGTGAGGGCAGAAGGGACCCTTCCAAACTGGCTGCTCCATTCCTTGGGGCTTCTAAACAGGTCACTTACAAGCAACCAGTTGGCTGGTTATGACTCAGACACATTATGTCTGGCCTACGGAGAGTGTGTGTGTGTGTGTGTGTGTGTGTGTGTGTCTGTGTGTCTGTGTGTATGTTTCCTTCAACATTTGAATTAATTACCAGTGCTTAAGACAATTAGGAGATTTCACACACAAAATCTGGATTTCTGGCTTCTCTTGACAACAGAGCATCTGGCCACAGAGGGCCCTCCCTCCACAGGGAGATGAGTCTCTAAACGGAGCATTTGCTCTCCACCAGGCTGATGGACTCATTTTTGCCCCTGCCTCCACACCCCTCGATTTCTCTGATGTAAAATGTTGCAGACTGACCGGGCTTGGTGGCTCACGCCTATAATGCAAGCCCTTTAGAGGCCAAGGCGGGCGGATCATCTGAGGTTGGGAGTTTAAGACTAGCCTGACCAACATGGTGAAACCGTATCTTAAAAAAAAAAAAAAAAGGCCAGGCGCGGTGGCTCACGCCTGTAATCCCAGCACTTTGGGAGGCCGAGGCGGGTGGATCACGAGGTCAAGAGATCGAGACCATCCTGGTCAACATGGTGAAACCCCGTCTCTACTAAAAATACAAAAATTAGCTGGGCATGGTGGTGCACGTCTGTAGTCCCAGCTACTAGGGAGGCTGAGGCAGGAGAATTGCTTGAACCCAGGAGGCAGAGGTTGCGGTGAGCGGAGGTTGCGGTGAGCCGAGATCGCGCCATTGCACTCCAGCCTGGGTAACGAGTGAAACTCCGTCTCAAAAAAAAAAAAAAAAAAAAGTTGCAGATTGTAAATCTGGCCAGGAGGAAGGATCAGAGAGATCATCGTCTGCAGCAACTCCAGGGGTCTGTGATGCCTCTGGATGTGGAGGAGGTAGCCCAGGGCTCCAGGGTTCATAATGCAAGATAGACAAGGCATTTTTCTTTTCTTTTCTTTTTTTTTTTTTGAGATGGAGTTTCACTCTTGTTACCCAGGCTGGAGTGCAATGGCGTGATCTCGGCTCACCGCAACCTCTGCCTCCTGGGTTCAGGCAATTCTCCTGCCTCAGCCTCCTGAGTAGCTGGGATTACAGGCACGCACCACCACGCCCAGCTAGTTTTTTGTATTTTTAGTAGAGATGGGGTTTCACCATGTTGACCAGGATGGTCTCGATCTCTCGACCTCGTGATCCACCCGCCTCGGCCTCCCAAAGTGCTGGGATTACAGGCTTGAGCCACCGCGCCCGGCCTTCTTTTCTTTCTTTCTTTTTTTTTTTAGAGACTGCTGGAGTGCAGTGGCATGATCTTGACTCACTGCAACCTCTGCCTCCCGGGTTCAAGTGATTCTCCTGCCTCAGCCTCCTGAGTAGCTGGGACTTCAGGCAGTGCCTGCTACCACCCCTGGCACAATTTTTGTGCTTTCAATAGAGACAGGGTTTCATCATGTTGACCAGGCTGATCTCAAACTCCTGAACTCAGGTATCTACCCACCTCAGCATCCCAAAGTGCTGGGATTACAGGCATGAGCCACTGTGCCTGGTCAGGCATTTTTCTTTTATTCAAACACTTATCCTTGAACTTGCTGTTACTGAGTGCTGTGGAGGGATGGGCATGTAGAACCCTGACCATGGAAAAACACTACTCTTTCTGGTTGAGTGACTAACACTTACTGAGTGCTTACCCTCAGCCAATCTCTTAACTTCCTATCAGTCCACCTAACAACCCCATTTCTGGAATGAAGACTGCTTATTGACAGACTCTGGCGCCCTCCCCTCTGCCAGTCTAAGGCTTCTTCTCTGTCTTTGTGTAAGTAGGAATGGCTTTGGTAGGGCCCCTCAGGCCATCTGAAGTTCAAAACACATTCTCAGCTGCTCTGGATAGCATGCCTATAGGACCAGCTACTAGGGAGGCTGAGGCAGAAGGGCTGTTTGAGTCCAGGAGTTTGTTTTTGAGACAAGGGCTTGTTCTATCACCCAGGCTGGAGTGTAGTGGTGTAATCATAGCTCACTGCAGCCTTGACCTCCTGGGTTCAAGCAGTTCTGCCTCAGCCTCCCTGGTAGCTGGGACTGCAGGCAAACTCCACCAGGTCTGGGTAATTTTTTTTTTTTTTTTAAGATGGAATCTTGCTTCGTCACCCAGGCTGGAGTGCTGTGGCGCAATCTTGGCTCACTGCAACCTCTGCCTACCGGGTTCAAGTGATTCTCCTGCCTCAGCCTCCTGAGTAAGTAGGACTACAGGCACGTGCCATAGCTAGTTTTTGTATTTTTTTTTCATGGACAGGGTTTCGCCATGTTGGTCAGGCTGGTCTTGAACGCCCGACCTCAGGTGATCTGCCCCCGCCTTGGCCTCCAAAGTGCTTGGATTACAGGCGTGAGCCACTACGCCTGGCCAATTTTTGTATTTTTAGTAGAGACAGGGTTTCATCATATTGGCCAGGCTGGTCTCAAACTCTTGACCTCGTGATCCACCTGCTTTGGACTCGCAAAGTGTTGGAATTGCAGGCATGAGCCACCGTGCGTGGCCCTGGTTAATTTTTTAATTTTTATTTTTATAGAGATTGGGAGGGGGTCTCACTTTGTTGGCCATGCTAGTCTCTAACTCGTGGCCTCAAGTAATCCTCCATATTCAGCCTCCCAAAGTGCTGGGACTACAGGTGTTAGCCACTGTGCCTGGCCTATAATGCAAGAGGGGACTGTGTGGAGTAGGTGTGCCCAGGATCTTTACTTGCCTTTGGGGACTGAGGTGTGAGCTCTGTGGACCAGACTGAGTGACTATGGGCAGGCAAGTCCCTGAGCCCCTAAAACTTCTTAGAGGAGCGGTTTATAGAGTACAACTCAGGTGCCTATAAATTGTTGCAGCTATCAGGTGTATTTGGTAGACAGGTAAACTCATTTTTTAAAAACTAGTCATTAATTATAATTTCAAGTTTTTCTGAGATGTAAAAACTCAGCGCCTTCAGCTGTTTCTAAACTTCTTATCTCTGTTAACAACTCCCCTCCCCTCCTCGACCTCACCCCATCCCACCGCACCCCAACTCGCTTAGTCTCTCCTTACCCGAGTGCAGCACACTCTCCTTTAGGGACCTGGAAACTACTGGCGATAAGGTCAGTCGGGAATTTAGGAGGTCCTGGATGTCGGAAATAAAGGTGTGAAAAAGAAGAGCTGGAATTGTTTTGGCTTTAAGTCACCGGAATCTCCAAGGTTCCTGAAAAACCATTTGCAGCTTTTGCAAACCGCCTTAAAGTCATCAGCGCCCCACTGCGGAATTCAAAGCTAAGCTGTCACAATTGTTAACATCTTCTTTGACCAGCCTTTTTATATTTGATAATTCTTCTCTTCCGCGCCTCTTTCTTGCCAGCAGGAAGGTTCTGCTGCCTTGGTTTCAGGGAGCCCCCTTGACAGTGAACTGTCCCTTCGCGTGCAGAAGTCGGGGTAAGTGCTCTCAGCTCGCCTTCCTTGCAGGGTGAGTAGGTTTTGCGGTTAGAAAGCGGAGCGTGGGGGTGGGGAGGGAGAGTAACAATTTTGGAAGTCCCTGTGTGTTATCTGGAAAGTTAATGACGCTTCAGGTTCTAGGTTGAGCCCAGTGACCGCCTCGCCTGGACAGCTGGCCCCGGGGCGAGTGCGGAGCCGGGCGGCCTTCGGCCCCACTCGGGAAACCCAGCTTCCGCGAGGGCGCCGGGGCTGCGAGTCTTGCGAGCCGCGTCCACGCGGGACCGGGCGTCCTCGCGAACGCCTGCCAGTAGCGCTCCCTGGGACCGCGCGAGGTCCGGGGTGTGCCCTTGGGGGCCCTCCCACTCTGGTCAACTTTCCCGGCCCCAGGGCCGGGGGAGGCGCCTCTCCCGGCGGGCACGCGCGGGGTACTTAAGGGCGGCTCTGCGGGGCCGGCGGCAGTCGGAGCGCGCGGCGGCGCGGAGCGGAGCGGGAGGAGGGGCATGGAGCCGCCACGGGCCTGCTGAGCTCCGGAGCGCGGCCGCAGGCGGCACGGTGAGCACGGGCCGGCCGGCACCCAGGAGGGGCGAGCCGCGCGGGGCTGCGCCGGGGCCGGGGCGCGCCGGACGCCAAGGGTGCCTCTCGCTGAGCCCCCCGCACCCCGCCAGCTCCCAGCCCTGCGGGCGCGGCGTCCGGCGCAGGGAGGCGGGCTGGGGGCGGTGGCAGCCCCAGGCTTCCCAGCGGCCGTTCCGCAGCCCCCTCCCAACTGACCCCTCCTCCCTTTCTTCCTGCATCCTCTCCTTCAGCCTCGCCTCCTTCCTCCCTGGCGGCTCCTGTTTTGTGAATGAATTAGGAGGCGGACGCTGGTGCGGGGCTCCTGGCTGGTTGGGGAAACCCTCCCTCGCACCTTCCACGACCTCCCGGGGGTTCGCACCTGTCCGGGCACCAAGGTACCAGGCGCCCAGTTTCCTGGGGGTCGGCTGGGCCGCGGCAGCACGTGTCCGGTGGTCTGGGCTCCCCTTCCCTGGCCGGCTCAGAGGGACCAGGAGGGTGGCTGGGCACAAGAGGAGCCCCGCTGGGCGCACAAGTTTCCCTGCCGCTGCTTGTGGCCGTGCCGAGGGGCGCACCTGTCAGCGGGAGAGACGCTGCACACCAGCAGCCCCTCAAAGTTTCGGAGGCTGGGTGGAGAAGCGTGCGTCCTTGGCTGGGGGTTCTCCTTGCGTCGTCCCAGGAGCTGGACTTGAGAGCGCCCCCAACCTTATGCCCTTGAAAGCCGAGTGCGTGTTAGTTTGCTTGGGCTGGGCTCTCGTGGAGGACCTAAGGGCTTGAGGAGGTGGCGGTCCAGGCTGTAGGATCACCCTGGGCCTCTGCCGGCTTGGGGTGACACAGTCCCCCGCCCCCGGTCTAGGCAGGAGGACCTTAACCACAGCTTGCAGCAGCGCCTGACTGCACGTGGGGTATCCGGCTGCGAGACATTTTGGGGGCCTGTATTTGGGGGTGGGGGGAGTAACCGGGGTAATGCCTCTGATTCCTGCGGGGGAGGGGTCCCGCCTAGGGAAGGAGAGGGCCGGCGACATCGGAGATGCGCCTTTGTCTACAGGCACACTTTGCCAAGGTAGCTGGTGTTCTGGAAGAAGAGTAGGGCCTGGTCCGACTGGGATTCCTTGGGTTTTCGGTCCTTCCTGGTTGGGTCGTGGGAAACCAGCACGTGGGTGTGGCCGGTGCCGCCTTTGCCAAGAGGCGAGGCTCGAGTGGGGACGAGAAGGGTGGCGAGTTCGTTCGCGGCTGCTTTGACCTGGTGGGCGCCGCCTTCGGCACTGCACCGAGGCGGGGCGCCAGCGCCCAGGTTGCCAGGCTGGCCTTGGCGCCTTCTTCCCCTGCCCAGAGCGCAGGCAGGCAGGGGGCCGCCGCACCCCTTCAGCACGTAAGCTCCGGAGGGGAATGGGGGCGCTCCTGGGCTGCGGATGCAGGCCTGGGTACTCCTGGGCCACAGACGCGAGCAGAAGGGTGGGACTAGGAAGGGCTGAGAGTCCTGCGAGGGAAGCACCCGGCGGGCTCTCAGGACGATGGGGCAGAGTGCCCAGAGGCCGCGCTTCCCGGAGAGGTAAGGCTGCCAACAGCTCTTTCCTGGCCAAAGCTGCTGGAAGGCTGCTGGTGCCTGAGTCTCAGGTAGACTTAGGCAGTGACTGTATTTCTCTCCCCTTCTATGTGAGAGGCGTCCCGACAGGAAAGTATGTTTTTGGGGCTCCAGACCTAGAGTTGGAGCAAGCTTGGAAGTGAGGCATCATGTCTGTAGAACTGAGTGAACATGGGGTTCTCTAGATCAGGCAGCTGGCAGAGAGGGGATGGGGTGGGTCAGAATGGGAGGGTGGGCAGCCATCCTTGTCACCTCTTCTTTCCCCTCCCTCACATCCCTCTCCCCACCTGCTCTGGAGGAAACCACAGTCAGCCTCATCATTAGGGTAGCTCATCAGGGCCGTGTTTCCATTTTTCGGGAAATGACTTACCTGAGATATGAAGGAAGAAACCAGTAGAACTACCATTGTTCTATGGGGAGACCAAGTCTCAGATAACTGGGGCAAGGTCAGACAGCCAGGAAGCACAAGCACTGTCTTAAACCCAATTCTCTGGTGCCACATCCTGGGCTCTTATAAAATAAAGCTGTTTGCAACAGGGCAGATGTTAGGGGCCCTGACTTAGTTGAAGATGGAAGCTGGGCATTGTTTCCAGGAGTGGCTGGGCAGGGGGACAAGCACAGAGATGCATGCTGCACGGGCACTAGGACCAAGCGGATTGGGCGCCCAGGCAGCCACCGTGGAGGCTGCTGCAGTGGTGGCTGCTGCTCCCTTTGCGCTCTTTAGCGCTGGGCTCCAGGAGGCTGTCCACTCCCCAGCTCACATTTCCTGCTCTGTTTCTCCCACTGCTTTCCCTTTCTTTCCTGCCTTGCAAGTAGAAGGTGAGAAAGCGGAGGACACAGGAAAGTTTCTCTGAGTAATACTGTCTTGAGAAAGGGAAGCTCCTGCTACACCCCCACCCCCCCGCCCCATGCCCCTTTGTTTGCTGTTTCTTTTCCTCCTGTACTTTCTTCTTGAGTCTTAGTGGTGGCTGTGCTTTACCGGTGAATATCCTCTCTAGGAGTGGGTGCAGGGCGGGAGGAAGCTCTTAGGCCACTGGCTGCCTCCCTGGCCCTCAGGTGCCCAGAGTGCCTCAGGCTTAACCCCCTGAAGCTTACCTCTTCAGCACTTTGGGCCAGGTAGAGCCCACTTCTGCCACCTACCAGCCAGCTATCACGTAACCCTTTGAGCCCTGGCTTGTCAGACAATAATCAGTGCTACTCTAAGGGCTTTGTATGTGTCGCCCATTTAACCCTCAAAGATGCCGTGAGGTTAGTCCTGCAACCCACATTTTACAGTTGGTGTGACTAAGGAGGCACAGACAGCAAGTGGCAGAGCTGGGATCTGAACTCCAGTAGTCCAGATCCTGAGTCTACCAAGTCTTAGTCATGCTTAGTAAGCGGTAACGGTTTTGATTAGTAGGTCATTCCCACTGGTAATAAAGAATGCCGATGCTCCCAGACTGGAAATGCTGCTTCCTTCCTGACCCTCCATCTCCTGCCTTCTCCCGCCAGATGCCGGTGCAGCTGACGACAGCCCTGCGTGTGGTGGGCACTAGCCTGTTTGCCCTGGCAGTCCTGGGTGGCATCCTGGCAGCCTATGTGACAGGCTACCAGTTCATCCACACGGAAAAGCACTACCTGTCCTTCGGCCTGTACGGTGCCATCCTGGGCCTGCACCTGCTCATTCAGAGCCTGTTTGCCTTCCTGGAGCACCGGCGCATGCGGCGAGCTGGCCAGGCCCTGAAGCTGCCCTCCCCGCGGCGGGGCTCAGTGGCACTGTGCATCGCCGCATACCAGGAGGACCCTGACTACCTGCGCAAGTGCCTGCGCTCAGCCCAGCGCATCTCCTTCCCTGACCTCAAGGTGGTCATGGTGGTGGACGGCAACCGCCAGGAGGACGCCTACATGCTGGACATCTTCCATGAGGTGCTGGGTGGCACCGAGCAGGCCGGCTTCTTTGTGTGGCGCAGCAACTACCATGAGGCGGGCGAGGGTGAAACAGAGGCCAGCCGGCGGGAGGGCATGGACCGTGTGCGGGACGTGGTACGGGCCAGCACCTTCTCATGCATCATGCAGAAGTGGGGAGGCAAGCGCGAAGTCATGTACACGGCATTCAAGGCCCTCGGCGATTCTGTGGACTACATCCAGGTAAGGGTGCCTCCCTAGGAGCCTGTATACATGGGGATGTGGCCGGCCAGCCAGGCAAACTCTCCTCCAAGAATCTGAGGTCTGGTCTAGGTCCCTTGGGTTGTGCACACACCTCTACACTTAAGGCAACAAGGCATAATGGTTCTGAACAGCCTGGGGTCCAAAAGACCTGAGTGGAATCCCTGTTCGCCGTTACGCAGCTCTGTGATGTGGGGCAGATCGCTAACTGCTGTCCCAATAATAATAGCAAATCAGTGTACAGCACAGTGGTAGGTACTTATTTATTTTTGAGACAGTCTCACTCTGTTGCCCAGGCTGGAGTGCAGTGGTGCAATCTCAGCTCACTGCAACCTCTGCCTTCTGGGTTCAAGCTGTTCTCCTGCCTGAGTCTCCCGAGTAGCTGGGTTTACAGGCTTACACTGCCACATGCAGCTAATTTTTTTGTATCTTCATTAGAGACAGAGTTTCACCATATTGGCCAGGCTGGTCTCAAATTCCTGCCATTGTGATCTGCTCACCTCAGCCTCCCAAAGTGCTGGGGTTACGGGTGTGAGCCACCACATCCAGACTTATTTATTTTAAAAGAGAGAGGGTCAGGCCGGGCGCGGTGGCTCAGGCCTGTAATCCCAGCACTTTGGGAGGCCGAGGTGGGTGGATCATGAGGTCAAGAGATGGAGACCATCCGGTGAAACCCCATCTCTACTAAAAATACAAAAAAATTAGCTGGGCATGGTGGCGCATGCCTGTAATCCCAGCTACGCAGGAGGCTGAGGCAGGAGAATTGCCTGAACCCAGGAGGCAGAGGTTGCGGTGAGCCGAGATCATGCCATTGCACTCCAGCCTGGGCAAAAAGAGTGAAACTCCGTCTCAAAAAAAAAAAACAACAAACAAACAAACGAGAGGGTCTCCCAGTTTGTACTCCTAGGCTGTAGTACAATGGCTGTTTAAAGGCATGATCAATATGCACTATAGCCTTGAACTCTCCCAGCCTTGGGCAATCCTCTCACCTCATCCTCCCTAGTAGCAGCAACTGCAGGCGAATGCCACTACACCCAGCTCCATGTTACTTCTCTTTTTTTTTTTTTTTTTTTTTTTTTTTGAGACGGAGTTTTGCTCTTGTTACCCAGGCTGGAGTGCAATGGTGCGATCTCGGCTCACCGCAACCTCCGCCTCCTGGGTTCAGGCAATTCTCCTGCCTCAACCTCCTGAGTAGCTGGGATTACAGGCACGCGCCACCATGCCCAGCTAATGTTTTGTATTTTTAGTAGAGACGGGGTTTCACCATGTTGACCAGGATGGTCTCGATCTCTTGACCTCGTGATCCACCCGCCTCGGCCTCCCAAAGTGCTGGGATTACAGGCTTGAGCCACCGCGCCCGGCTGTTTCTTCTCTTTTTTTTTTTTTTTTTTTTTTCCAGTTATCATTAGTTTATTATAAAAGAGAGATATGGAAATTATTTACATGATGAAAGATTTCAGAACTTCAGTGGAATGGGCAGCTTCACATTGATGCCATTTCAATAGTGACTTATTTCAGTCTACGTACTTTCCAAGAATGTCACCATCTCTAAATAGGAAATAATCCTTGTCATCTAGAACTACTTTGGTGCCTCCATATTCTGGGAGAAGAACTTTATCTCCAACTTTCACGCTAACTGGTTGAATCTCTCCACCCTTTCCTTTAGAACCCGATCCAACAGCGACTACTGTTGCTTGCAATACTTTTCCTTGAGATTTTTCTGGAAGCATAATGCCTCCTTTGGTTACAGTTTCAGCAGCACTCCTTTCAACCAATACTCGGTTAAAGAGTGGGAGAAACTTTCTAAACGCCTGTCCTGCCATGACTCCCTCAGCCTCAGACTCGTACTCTGCTCTGGCGCACCGTGGCAAAGAGAGACCCGCGATACGGCCCTCCCGACACGTGAAAAGGCCACCCAGCGTGCAGGCGCCCTCGCCCCCGTTACTTCTCTTTTGAGACGGAGTTTCGCTCTTGTTCCCACAGGCTGGAGTGCAGTGGCATGATCTTGGCTCACTGCAACCTCTGCCTCCTGGGTTCAAGCAATTCTCCTGCGTCAGCCTCCTTAGTAGCTTATAGGCGCCTGCAACCAGGCCCAGCTAATTTTTTGTATTTTTAGTAGAGACAGGGTTTCACTATGTTGCCCAGGCTGTTCTCGAACTTGTGACCTGAGGCGATCCACCCACCTCAGCTTCCCAGAGTGCTGGCTTTACAGGCGTGAGCCACCACGCCCACCTTCACTTTAGTTCTTTTAATCCTCATAACACTCCCAGGGAGTACCATTATCTCCACTCATAGAAGGTGAAAGCAAAACACAGAGAAGCTAAGTAACTTGCCTGATGTCCCACTGCTAGTAGGGTGCAGAGCCAGGATTTGCACCTAGGCCATCTGTCTCAAGTCTATCTCAAGTCTTTTTTTTTTTTTTTTTTTTTTTTTTTGAGATGGAGTTTCGCTCTTGTTACCCAGGCTGGAGTGCAATGGCGCGATCTCGGCTTACCGCAACCTCCGCCTCCTGGGCTCAGGCAATTCTCCTGCCTCAGCCTCCTAAGTAGCTGGGATTACAGGCACGCGCCACCACGCCCAGCTAGTTTTTTTGTATTTTTAGTAGAGACGGGGTTTCACCACGTTGACCAGGAGGGTCTCGATCTTTCGACCTCGTGATCCACCGGCCAAAGTGCTGGGATTACAGGCTTGAGCCACCGCGCCCGGCCTTATCTCAAGTCTTTTACTGTGGTGCAGCACTGCCTCAGCACTGGCAACATGGTGCTGAATCTCTTCACAAAGAAGCGTGGTGAAAAGCAAAAGAAACCATCCTCAGAAATACTCAAAATATTCTAGTAATGGCCAAAAAGTCCCATTCTTCCTAGTGTCAAAGTCGTGGCTGGGAGGTGAGAGACACAGGTGCGAATGACTAGCTTCATTTTGTAGCAGCATTGGCAGGGCCAGGACCCTGATTAAACTCTGCCCAGCTTTGGTCAAAGCAGTCACCGACATAAGCTTGGAAATTGTATTAGGTTGACATGGTTTCCATCTTAAAAAAAAAAAAAAAATCTCAAGAGTTGAAAAGATGAAAGTCCACACATTTTGGTACAAAGTAGAAACCAAAACCTAGGTCCCTGTAGGCCAGGATTCTTTTGTTTTGTTTTGTTTTTGGAGATGGAGTCTCACTCTGTTGCCCAGGCTGTACTGCAGTGGCACCATCTTGGCTCACTGCAACCTCTGCCTTCCTAGTTTAAGCAATTCTCCTGCCTCAGCCTCCCGAGTAGAGTAGCTGGGTGTGCGCCACGACACTTGGCTAATTTTTGTATTTTTAGTAGAGATGGGGTTTTACTACATTCGTCAGGCTGCTCTTGAACTTCTGACCTCAGGTGATCCGCCTGCCTTGGCCTCCCAAAGTTCTGGGATTACAGGCGTGAGCCACCACACCCAGCCTAGGCCACGGTTCTTGACAGCATCCACGCTGCCTCTCTTCCTGACTCTGTTATCTGACTGTCCTTCTCCACGCCTGCCAGAGCAGGGTGCTGCCCATCACTTGGTCAGTGCTTGAAGGTGCAGTGGCTGTCCTGCCAGCCCACCTATGTACCAATTCAGTCTGCTGATAATATTTTGTGTCCTCTAATACTATTTTTCTCTAGTGTACCCACTTCAGATTAGCTCACTGAGATTGCGTGTCTGGCTTTTGATAGCTGTCTTTGCATAATGGTTGATGTTTATCTTTTTCTGGCTTCCTAGGCCCAGGACCTCCTCAGCCATGGAGGGAGTGAGGAGAGCCTAGCAGGCTATTTGACTGTAGTTCACTTAGGGTCATGGGACCTTGTGGAACTTTCCTGGGGACCCAAATGCTTAGGGAAGAGCCCTTGAGCCTGGCAGTGACTTTGTCATCAATTCCCTGCAAGCACAAGATCTCACCCCCGGCCCCACCATCTCCCTTTCCTGGCAGTCTGGGTTCTGGTGGATCAGCAAGCAGGCTCACACACCTGAGCTATCTCTTTACAGCCCTGGGATCACTGCATAAGGCAGCCCTGGGCCAGAGCCATAAGCGCTTGCTGGATTTCAGCCTGTCTTCCCACCACCTGCTGCAGTGGGTAGAAATCTCTCTCTTCGAGGCAGAACTCTGCCCCAGCCAGTGGGGAAATCCAGGCAGCACAGACTTCTTTCTACCCTAACCGTGCTCAGTTAGAAAGCCCTCCCTGGACTAAAAGAAGCAAAGCAGCATATAATGAATGGGCTAGGGGAGAGGAGGGAGAAGCAGCAAGACTAGCAGCAGCAGCAGTGCCGGGAGTCTTGGCCTGTAAGTGGAGGAGACTCTGGAGTCTGGCCTGAGGCTTCCTGGGCCCTTCCCAGGCATGGACCAGGATCTAAGGATGTGTCTGGTAGGGAGGTGGGAAGAAGCACATGTGAGGGACCCAGCCTGGTGCTGAGGCTGTTCTGATTCCCCTTGAGCCTTCTACTGCTTGTCTGTGGCCACCCTGTCTTCCAACATAGAGAAAGCTGGGTGGGGTTGTGTCAGAGGCAGCCTCCTTCCAGCTGGGATCTTATTCAGCAATTTTTTTTTTTCTTTTTTTTTTTTTTCTTTTTCTTTGAGACGGAGTTTCGCTCTTGTTACCCAGGCTGGAGTGCAATGGCGCGGTCTCGGCTCACCGCAACCTCCGCCTCCTGGGCTCAGGCAATTCTCCTGCCTCAGCCTCCTAAGTAGCTGGGATTACAGGCACGCACCACCACGCCCAGCTAGTTTTTTGTATTTTTAGTAGAGACGGGGTTTCACCATGTTGACCAGGATGGTCTCGATCTCTCGACCTCGTGATCCACCCGCCTCGGCCTCCCAAAGTGCTGGGATTACAGGCTTGAGCCACCGCGCCCGGCCTTATTCAGCAATTTTAATACAAGGATTTTAGGCTACTGCAGAACAGGGTTTTCGTCTATCTGTGGATCTGTTTGTTGCTCACCTAACAGTGATCACAGAGTGAATCAGGTCTGTAAATCAGTTCTCCTGCCCAGTGCTTACTGGATTCTTCATACCACTTTGGTAATTTTTTTAGAAAACAATTAAGGAGTCAGCCATTAGGGCAAGCATTGATAACCCAGGTTCCACTCATAATGGGACTACCTGTTAGAATCAGGCCATAAGCCTCTCAAGAGCTGGGCCCAGTTGGCCCTGTGGTTTGTCTGGAGGCAGCTGCTGCAGCATCCATGCCTATTTAAAGCAGCTTCCAGGGGGAGCCCTCGACCATACTGTGCCCAGTTCTGAGGTTTGGCCAAGGGAGTCTGTTAAGGGTGCAGAGACTGGCAGCCTTGTTACTGGTGTCATGGAGGTGCCTGCGAGTAGGTAAACTGGTAACCACCACTGGGCTGCAGGTTGTCCAAAGGACCACAGGCCGACTCGGGGACCCTGTGGTTAACCCTGTGGGGTCAGCTCAGGCTGTACGTAGTGTGTTAGCCCTGGCCTACCCTACTGTGCCTGTCATCTGAGTTCAGTGACATGTTCCCCTCCTCCCCAAGGACCCCAGAGAAATATTTTGAGGCCAATTCTGTGGCACCTGGCTCCATAGGGGCTAAAAACGGGTACGGTGCTAAGCATGTTTCCCTTTCCAGGCCTGACACCTACCGTCTTCAGGGTTTCTCTCTCTCAGCCTAGTAGCTGTCAAGCCTGATAGCTGAACTCTTCTTTTCCTACCTTTTGTTTTTCCTTTGGCACCTTCTGGTGGCACAGATCTCTTAGCTAGTGGCTGGAAGTGAGTCATGTGAGAGGGGGTTATGTCTCAGGCAGTGAGCAGGGATGGGGGCGGGGTGGGCAGGCCTGACGTCAGAATGGGCTGACGGCACACTCCCTCTGCAGGTGTGCGACTCTGACACCGTGCTGGATCCAGCCTGCACCATCGAGATGCTTCGAGTCCTGGAGGAGGATCCCCAAGTAGGGGGAGTCGGGGGAGATGTCCAAGTAAGATGTCACCAGGGATATCTGGGGGGAGGGGTCTGGATTTCTTCCTAATCCAATTGGATATGCCTGGGAAATGGGTGTCTTAACTGCCTAGTACTTGAGGGGAGTTTCCTCGCTGGGAATTTTCACTGACAACCAAAGATCGTGCCTCCCTCGCTGCCAACCCCTTTCCTGCTCTTCTTCCACATGAAGGGAAGTCACTTAACAGGTATGGAGAAGAGTCTATACTGTAGGAGGGGCACAGTACTTTGAGGCCTTAGATCCTAGAAGGCACTTCCTTTTTGGCCGGTGGTGCGGCAAGTAGCTCCAAAGCCAGATCTTTGAGGAGCCTTTGCTCTTAGAGAACGAGCTGAAGACCTCGGGGAAGTACAGTAAAAATTATGGGCCCAATCTGCCAGAGATACTCAAGTAGCATCCCAGGTCTCCCTAGAACTTTCCAACCACAGAAGGCTTAGGACAGGTGGGAGATGGTATATTGGCTTCTTCCCAAGCCACCACCACAGGCTGCCTCCTGAGATTGAAGGTGGTTTTGGCTGCTAGAGCCACTTAGCAGAGAATCTCTGCAGATGGGATGACACAATAGGGAGGCAGAGCTGGTGCTGGGGACAGTGACTGCGTGTGGTTGGCTCCTCTGAGCCTCAGGTTTCCCAGCTCCGAAGGAACCAATGGCCAGGAATCTGAGCAATGGGCCACAGAAGCCATGGTAAGGCCTCGTGGTCTCTGGTGTCTGTGTCCTCCAGATGTAGGTTGTTAGGTGGGGAGGCCCAGCGTCTCTATTCCCTTACAGATCCTGAACAAGTACGACTCGTGGATTTCCTTCCTGAGCAGCGTGCGGTACTGGATGGCCTTCAACGTAGAGCGGGCCTGCCAGTCCTACTTTGGTTGTGTGCAGTGTATTAGCGGGCCCTTGGGCATGTACCGCAACAGTCTCCTCCAGCAGTTCCTGGAGGACTGGTACCATCAGAAGTTCCTAGGCAGCAAGTGCAGCTTCGGGGATGACCGGCACCTCACCAACCGAGTCCTGAGTCTTGGCTACCGAACTAAGTATACCGCACGCTCCAAATGCCTCACAGAGACCCCCACTAAGTACCTCCGGTGGCTCAACCAGCAAACCCGCTGGAGCAAGTCTTACTTTCGGGAGTGGCTCTACAACTCTCTGTGGTTCCATAAGCATCACCTCTGGATGACCTACGAGTCAGTGGTCACGGGTTTCTTCCCCTTCTTCCTCATTGCCACCGTCATACAGCTTTTCTACCGTGGCCGTATCTGGAACATTCTCCTCTTCCTGCTGACAGTGCAGCTGGTGGGCATCATCAAGGCCACCTATGCCTGCTTCCTTCGGGGCAATGCAGAGATGATCTTTATGTCCCTCTACTCCCTCCTCTATATGTCCAGCCTTCTGCCAGCCAAGATCTTTGCCATTGCTACCATCAACAAGTCTGGCTGGGGCACTTCTGGCCGAAAAACCATCGTGGTGAACTTCATTGGCCTCATCCCTGTGTCCATCTGGGTGGCAGTTCTCCTGGGAGGGCTGGCCTACACAGCTTATTGCCAGGACTTGTTCAGTGAGACGGAGCTAGCCTTTCTTGTCTCTGGAGCCATCCTGTATGGCTGCTACTGGGTGGCACTCCTCATGCTGTATCTGGCCATCATTGCCCGGCGATGTGGGAAGAAGCCAGAGCAGTATAGCTTGGCTTTTGCTGAGGTGTGACATGACCCCCAAGCAGAGCGGGTAAAGTGCAATGGGTAAGGGAGGGAAGGGGAACAGAAGAAGAAAAGATGGGGTGGGAGGGAGGAGGGAGTGCTGTGTTTTAGTCTCTTAATGGTCCAAAGGACACATCTAAAATGCAAAGAATGGTGATGTAGTGTGGCCTGGAAGCTCTGCTTAGAGGAGGCAGCACTGATCCCCAGGTGCAGGGCAGGAGCGGCTTCTGTGTTTCCAGGCTGCCTGTCTGCTTACATCTGCACATAGGCAGTAGCCTCCCCCTGGGCTCCAGAGGGCACTCAGAAGTGTGCTAAGCCAAGTAAGTCCCATTTAGTGGCAGCTTGTGATAGGTACCTGAGTAATGGCAACCTGTGGAAAGAGGTTCTCTCAGCCCATCTGAACACAACCAGAGGTGGCAGGAGAATTTCTACTGAGCGAGCTGGGCTGGTTATTGTATGTTACCCCCACCCCACCCCTAAGTAGTCATCAATGCAATAAGATTGCGCCTGAGATACAAGTCCCAGAAGGCTGATCTTTGGGCATCAGAAAACAGGGTCCAGGAATGGTGCTTTATGTGAGATACTCCACTCCACATCAGCATTCCAGGGATGAGCCAAACCAGCAGGGAGTTAGCACTGAACTGCTTTTAAAAATGTACACTGAAAAGGAAAGTTTGCCAGGAGGAACAAAGAGATTGTGGTGGTGCTAAAGGAGGCCATAAGCTATATGGAGGCCTTGCGTGTTCCACCTGGAAATTGCTCAGACGTCTAGATGGGCTCTTAGCTTGTCTGTGATCTCTGCTGGGAAGATAAAAAGATTAAGCCCCAACATGTTCAGAAAAGAAGTGAAGTCTTGGTATTTTAACCTGTATACTCTGAATTCCTCTCAAATTCAGCTCTGATCTGAGGCTAAGACGCTCACTTCACCTTCTTCAAAGGCAGTTTTTGAGGTGTAACGGCAGTCACCTCTTCTACTGGGTAAGGTTTTCAAGGTAGCAACTGGGGCACAGCCCAGGCTCTTATAGAACCCTACACAGGAGGCAAGCCTGTTCTCGGAACATATGGGAACTATGAGGAGCCTCTGATCAAATTGGCTACAGTCTTGTAGCTGCTTGGACAGATTCCTTGGCAGTCGGGTTAGCATGTGTGACGTTCAGGCTACTGTTCTTGACAATCATCTCCAATGGAAAGCTTTTCAGTGTTCCCAAAGTGAACTCTCAAATCCAAAATGGTTATCTTTAAGACCATCCATTCTCCTCAGTGGCTTCTCCAGGGAATTCTTACAGCCAAGTTGTGACAGTCACTGCACATTGCTTGCTTCTTTCCAGAAATCAAACTAGGAGATGAAACTGGTTCCTGCATCCTAAGGTTCTTGCTTTCTCTCTTCTGTGGCTGTTTTCCCTCTGCTGCTTTTGGGGAATGAGGGAAAGCCATAGTCCAGTGACTTGCAATTCCATGCTGTTCTCAGCTTTTGAGTTTAAAACCTGGGATCCTAAGCCTTTGACTTAGAGGTTGCTTGCTTGCCCTCCAAATGTCGTTTCTGAAGGGCCAGCTAGCCCGTGCAGAACCAGCACTAACATGGACAGCAGCAGAGAGGACAAGCCTCTAGTGTACCGAGGTGTTTCCTACAAAGACGCGAAGCGTGCTCTGAGCCACAGATGGGCAAACTCTGGTGCTTTTCTTCATCTCCCATGAACTCAAGGGTTTTCCAGGTGTAGCTAACAGTTGCCACATCACACAGACTTTTGAGTTTCTGCTAAGACCGGTGGTTGACATAGGACCCAACCCACGAAAGCTGGAAGGCAGCAAGCATTTGCTAAGGCAGCTGCTCCAGGCAATCATTCTGCTGGCCAAGAAGTAAACTATTTTGAGCATTAGAATGGAGGAAATCCGGTCAACCAAGTGCAGAGTTCAGACTTCACTAAGGGCTTTTCTTCAGCATTTACTTGAAGATTAACGTAGGATGACAGGCTCTCCTGCTGTCCTGCCGTCAGCTCTGCCTTGCACTGTGGTCAACTTTCCTCAAATCAAAAATAGGCAGGTACAGGTAGTAGGCTCACAACGTTTGACCTCGACTGGTTTTTCTAAGTTATTTTGTGTATTTTTCAGCAGCAAAACCAAACTGGGTCTTCAGCTTTATTCCCGTTTCTGGCAAGGGAAGAGCCTTTATACAACTGGATGCATTTTGGTTTTTCCTCACTGAGAATTCTAATCCTCTTTTGTATTGTTTTTACAATAATTTGTAAACATATTTATTTTTACCTGCTTTTTTTTTTTTTTAACTTTTCAGGTCAAGTTTTTTATACTGCACTTGTCAAAATAAAGATTCTCACATATGCTGGTTATCTCTGAACTACTATTCTGTACTTAATGAAAGCTAGCTCTTTATTCCAGTTTCAAAAGAGGGACTTAAAAGTTTTGTCGAGGGGACTCAAGACTGGGCAACATGTCCATTCTGGTAAGTGTACACCCAGGGGGCTTCACTTTCAGTGTAGAGGGTCTTTGGTGAAATAACTGGCAGATGAATGAGCCCTTGCTAAGGCTAAAAACCAAAGCCTGCTTCCTCTTGGAGCAAAAGTGTTTTAGCTGACAAAATGTAAGACTCCCGCCATGATAAAACAAAAGCAGAGTAAACTTCCTTCCCTATCAATCAAACAGGTAATAAAACAGAGTGACACCAGCAGCCCTCTCATCCCATTTATTAAAGAAACAGTAAGAAAAGATACAATGCAAGAAAACCACCAACCATCCTTTCACATCAGGCTGAACAAAGCACAGTGATTTATTCCCTTCATTCCCCCACCCCCACCCCAATTCCCATATTCCCATCCACATCAGTTTAAATTTTTGAGGTTCTTTGATTGGGAGTACCAGTAAGGAGGGAGTTGGATGAGTAGAGGAGCCTTAAATCTGGCCACCTCTAAATCCCAGGAAAAGAGAGGTGCAGGCACAGTCAGTCAACCAGAAACTGCATTTGGTGGGTCTTTGAAGTGGTTGTCCATCTCCCTGTTCTGTGTTCAAGCCCCCAGGGAAAGGTATGGCAGTAGAGGATGACCAGGTCCAAGCTGCCCAGGTCAGAGCTATAGAAGCATGATCTGTTCACCAACACCACGTTTCTAGAGAGCAGTGAGCTGATTCTCCAATGCTGAGCAGGGGACTACATGTGAACTGGGACCTGCAGGCCAATGTATCCCTGAGGAAAAGTCCACAAGAACAATTCAAGAAACTAGTAAGAAACAATGGGCAGAAAGCTGCAGGACAAAAGCACAGGAGGCTTCTGGGAGCTGGAGATCCTTTTTCTCAAGGCCAGGATTATTCCCACCTGCCACAGTTCACATGCCACAAGTAACATCTCACCTTCAGTCAAGAAAAACGCAGAAGAAAAAGATGGCTCATTTGAACTTGAGCCTCAGCTATGTTCTTCAGACTGTAGCTCCACAACTACCCTTTTACCTAAGAGACTGCCCCTGACAAGAACCACAGTGCCTAGAAACCAAGGTGGTCCTGGAGGGAAAATGGTGTTTAAGGGGGTAACATTCCATTTGGGTATATTGCAGCCATTGGACCCCCTGGTCTAGGGAAAGCAGCTGGGTTTGTGCCAGGGAGGCTCCCCACTCTGGGAAATGGGACCAAATTCTTGCCTGCAGGGCCATTCATCCTTGGAAAGGAAGCTGGGTTGAGACCCAGGGTCCCAGTTGGCCTTGCAAAAGGAGCTGGGTTGATACCCATAGGGCCTGCTGGAGAAGAGCCCAGGTGCCCGGCAGCTGACCTGGGGAAAGCAACTTGACCAGAGCCTAATGGGCCAGTAGACCTTGGGAAGGTAGTTGGACTTGGACCCTGCAGACCAGCAGCCCTTGGGAAGTTACCTGGGTTGGGGCCAAGTGGCCCAGAGGCTCTTGGGAAAACTGTTGGATTTGAGCCCTGGAGGCCAGCAGACCTTTGGAAGGTAGCTGGGTTTGATGCCAATGGGCCAGAAGATTGAGAGAAGGCAGATGAACCCACTCCCCTGGGAAACGGATTGGCATTTACCCCCATGGGGCCACTTGGCCTTGAAAAATGAGCCGAATTAGGGCCTATAGGGACAGGAGCCCTTGACATGGGAGATGGGTTTGGCCCTGTAAGGCCAATTCCCCGAGAGCCAGGACCTGAGTTTGGGCCCATGGGGGCAGGTACTCTTGCCATGGAAGATGGGCTTGGGCCCATGTTTCCAGAAGGCTGTGAGAAAGAAGCTGAATTTGCTCCTAAAAGACCTGCTGCTCTAAGAATGGGGGCAAGATCGAGGCCTTGAGGTCCAGCCATTCTTAAGTTAAGACCAGATCCTGTGCCCAAGAGGCCACCTGCTCTGGCATCTAGATTAGGGCTTGGGCCCAGGCCACTTGGTCTTAGGTTGGGCCCAAGGCCTGAGCCTGTAAACACACCTGACCTGGGGGCAGGGTTTGACCCTAAAAAGCCTGATCTCAGATTGGGGTTTGATCCTGGGCCCAGGCCAACTGGCCTAGGATTGGGAGGACCATTCCCAGAGCTCAACACAACACCTGCTCTCAGGTTAGGTCCAGATCCGGGGCCCATGGGACCACCACTTCTGGGGTCAGGACCTGCTCCCAGGAGACCACCTGCTCTTGGGTTGGACATAGGACCTGATCCTGGGAGACCACCTAACCTGGGGTTAGACAGAGGCCCTGGGCCTGGAAGACCCCCTGTCCTAGGGTTTACCACAGGGCCTTGGCCCGGGGCTGGCCCCAAGAGGCCACCAGGCCTTGGGAAAGAAACTGCACCTGTGCCAGTGGGATTCATCCCTCTTGGAAAAGAAGCCATGCTGGGGTCACGAGTACCAGCTGGGAAAGGTGCTGGATTTGAAGCCAATGAGCCTGATGAAGCTGGAAAAGGAGATGGGTTCCTTGGAAATGGAGCCAGATTTCCACCAAGAGAACCGGCCGCCATAAGGAAGGGATCTGAGTTCACACCCAGTGGGTGGCCTGTGTTCAGAACAGGACCTCCCTGTGGTCCCAGGGAACCGTTGAGCCGTCCTCGAGGTGGCAGCGGAGCACGAGTCCAAGGAGTTGGCCGCTCTCTAGGGAAAATCCGAGGTTCTTTCATACTTTCTTGGGGACGTTGGTGATAATGGGCTTGGGACGGATTTTGAAAAGGATCTTGTCTTTGATGAGTGCTGTCACCAGATACTGGGTGCCAGTCTCGCGGCAAAGCTCATCACAGTCCTGATCCCCAGGAGTGTGTTTGACAAGGACTGCAAAAGGTTTCTCCAGGTGGATGATTTTCCCATACAGGATATGATGCCCCACGATCAGCACAGGGATTCCCTTTGGCAGAACAAGAACAAGATTCCTGAGGTTCAGGTCAAGGCCATAACACTCAGGTGCCTCCTAAAGCTGCTCTTGGCAGGATATGCTGGCACCTCCACTCCCTGGTCTAGCTCTTGCCATTGTTGAGCAGCCACACTGGACGACCCACCCGTATGCCCTTTTTACTCTTTCTAGCCCCATATAAGAGTATTTCCACTTTCAGAAATGTGAGCTTTCTAGATTCCCCAAATTAAATTTCCCTGCTACTGTAGAGGTAGGGGGAGAACAAGCAGAGAGCATCACAGATTAGCTAGACCCTGAATAACAAACCTGAGGCAGTCCTCACTCTGGGTCCTGGGAGCACCACCTTGGTGTAGCCTGCTTTCCTGAGGCATTAGGCAGGGAAAGAAAAGCCCCCTCACCTCAGTGGTGTAATGTAGGTCTCCCAGGAGGTTTCCAGCTAATCCAGTGCTGTAGCGAGCCTCGATTTCCCCCTGTAGCTCCATCAGCACCCATTCTGCCAGGCCTCCAGCCCTCGCACTGCAAGCAAAGGGCTGGCGGTTACAATATTTTTGAGGGGTGAAGGATGAATAGTGTCCTACACCACCATTCAAGGTCCAAAGGACCTCTGTCGGACATAAATTCTTGGGAAATTGGGCAGTGCTAATAAGGATGAATAGTGTCCTACACCATCACTCAAGGTCCAAAGGACCTCTTGGTCGGACATAAATTCTTGGGAAATTGGGCACTGAACTAGAGATGAGAATGCAAGGATTTGTGCAAGATGCACCTAAGGACCCTGATTCTTCCAGAAACATCTCACACCTCTATAGCTCGCACCATTTCAAGACAAATTTTAAAATCTCAAAATGTGCTCACCTGGAAATAACAATTTGCACCATGAGCTTTCTGTCTTTAAAATATCAAGTGAAAACAAGCTGTAGAGAAAAAAAGAAAAAGAAATTTAGGGTAATAATAATGACAACTAATTTTTTTTCCCCTAAGACAGAGTCTTGCACTGCTGCCTGGGCTGGAGTGCAATGGCGCGATCTCAGCTCACTGCAACCTTCGCCTCCTGGGTTCAATCGATTCTCCTGCCTCAGCCTCCTGAGTCACTGGGATTACAGGTACCTGCCACCACGCCCAGCTAATTTTTTGTATTTTTAGTGGAGATGGGGTTTTACCATGTTGGCCAGGCTGGTCTTGAACTCCTGACCATGTGATCTGCCCGCCTTGGCCTCCCAAAGTGCTGGAATTACAGGTGTGAGACACCATGCCCAGCCGACAATATTTATTACTGTGTGCTTTTCTAAGTGGTTTAGATACATTTTATCTTGTTCCTCTAACAATGCCATAAATGGAAGTATTCTTTTACCAATACTGTACACGAGATAAGGTTGCTTAAGATCACCAGTGGTCAACTGTGTGTGCCGCAAAAGTAATCAAGATCACATAACTACTAAGACAAAGATGATATGAACCTAAGACACAGACTACAAAGACCATACTCCTGATCACTATGCTAATGTGCCTTTCTCAAGGATTTTTTTTTTTTTTTTTTTTTTAAGAGTCTCACTTTGTCACCAGATCTGGAGTGCAGTGGCATTATCTCAGCTTGCTGCAACCTCTGCCTCCCGGGTTCAAGCAACTGTCCTGCTTCAGCCTCCTGAGCTGGGACTACAGGCAGGCACCACCGTGCCCAGCCAGTTTTTCTAATTTTAGTAGAGATAGGGTTTCACCATGTTGGCCAGAATGGTCTTGATATCTTGACCTCATGATCCTATCGCCTCCGCCTCTCAAAGTGCTGGGATTACAGGTGTGAGTCACCACGCCCAGTCTCTTTTTTATCTTCTTTTGAGACAGGGTCCCACTCTGTCGCCCAGGCTGGAGTGCAGTAGCAAGATCACAGCTCACTGAAGCCTTTACTTCCTGAGCTTAAGTGATCCTCCCATCTTGGCTTCTCAAAGTGCTGGGATTACAGGTGTGAGTCACTGTGCCCAGCCTAGGATAGTCTATTTCCTATGTTTCTTAAAAAAAAAAAAAAAAAAA